TCAAAATGTTTTTATGTTTTCTGTTCATTATTTCTCGTTTGGTTTGATATTTTTCAATTTTTTTAAACATGTTTGGTCGGTCTGTTGCTCAAATACTTGTGAACCCATCAATTTTTCTGAGTAGCTAATTATCTGCCTTTTCAATTGTGAATTATCATTTATGTGAATACTTCAATCATCTAGACTTAGTGCTCAAATACTTGTGAACCCATCAATTTTTCTGCCCCCAAAAATAATACAAAATGGGAGTTCCCAGATTTTATCTGCACTTCAATTCACAGCAGGGGGGACATTTAGCAAGTTTCTAATCTGGTATCACTGTAAACATTTGAGGAAAATGGAGTTTCATACAGAAAATTTTCTTGTAGATCTTATTAGAACAGCCCTTTTGTGATTATGGTAATGTTAATTAACCTCCTTGAGTAGCTAATTATCTGCCTCTACCACTCTTGAACCCCTATATTGTGATCAATAGAAGACTATAAAAGCACATAATTGTAGTGATACTAATAGGCATCAAGAAATAGTATTACACCGATGAGAAAGCGAAATTAGACTTACAAGAGCGTAGGGGGAATTGGGGTGTTTGGAGAGCAGACTGGTGCAGTGCTTGAGAGCGTTCTTGAACTGGCGAGAGTCGATGGCGTCCCAGACCGGCCGGACTCGACGCTCGGGTATCCCTCCGACCAACCCGAACTTCGATGCCATTCCAGACATTGTCCAATGCTTCAGGCGTCACCGGCGTCGAGCCTTGAGAAGGTCAGATCAGGTTGTGGAAGAGACGGCGAGAATGAGTGGATCTGCGGTGAGACTAACCGGAGTATATGGCTGACGGCAAATTCCTGCTCCTCTGCCGCCGGCGGAGATCTCCGAAGTGGCTGAGCTTAGAGATTTTGGGACTGGGGGATCTATCTATCTTAAAAGGCTTCTTCTTTCTAACTGTTTCAACCAAAGGAAAATGAAAATGAAAATGTCCACTCCAATCTTAACCCGGTAATCCGGCCCTTTATTTATGGCCTCCTCCTTTATTTACTCTTTCCAATTTCAAAAACTATTCTTTTACCCTAATTTTTATGTCTCGAAAATTATTTTATTTTTTAAGGCGTATTTGGTTGTGAGAAAAAAATACTATTTTATTCTTTTTTTGTTTGGAAAATATTTTCAGGAGAAAATAATTTATAAGGAAAATTAATTCCTCCCCCTATTTTTCATTATTTGATAGGAAGAAAATTACTTTAAAAAAAATGTTTTTAATTCTTAAAATTTCAAATTTCATAGAGTTCTTATTCGCTGATTGTTGGAAGAAACTGGAAGAAACTGAAAAGAATAGAAAGAAGCTCGAAAGAACTAAAATAAATTAGAAAAAATTGAGAAATCTAAAAAAACTTTAAATTTTTTTTATTCTCATTCTAATTCTTGTTGTTATAAATTATTAATGTTGTTGTTGTCATCACGTTATCTTGATGAATGCTTTTAAGATAATAAAAAAATATTGTTATTTTTTGTACACAAAAAAACTAATTTTGCAAAAAAAAAATTAATTAGAATATAAAATTAGCATAAATATCAAAATGCTAAATATTTAAAAGGTATTGTGGCTACGCTACACGTCACTTTATTTATGCAATATTTATCATAAAATAATATATTTGTAGTTATACTTTATATATTATAAGATTAAATATCAGACATATCACATAATGTAATCAAACCTATTTTTTCTTTGATAATTGATTTTTTTTCATTATAACCCTACTTTTGGAATAAAGACATATAACTTTTTTTTACATTTTTTATGTTTTACTTCTATCGAGGCAGCGAACAAGAGAATATAAGCTCAAGGTGATGTTGTTTGATTAACAAACTAAAAATGCAATGGAGCAGTTTAGATATGAAATAGTGGTTAATATTCTACAATGGAGTTAAGCTTAATTGAATATACTAAATACGCAGTATAGTTTTTACAATAATATGATAATGTTGAAAATGATTGAATTATTTACATTCATATGCGCAGTATTTTATATATTAGAGACAATAAAAAATAAATCAAATAAACGAAAGTATAACTTTTTTGTTAGTTGTATTTTGATTATTGGTGATATTATTTGTTATCTGAATTTGTTTTTTACACTTTTTGGGTCGTTTTTTCTTTTTCATGTATTTCTCTCTTGGTTTTCATAATGTACTACTCCCCACCCCATTCCATTATTATATTTTAAACTAAAATATTGATGTTTTCCTTATATAAATTTGGATTAAAGAAATATTTTACGTAACTATTTTATCCATAGCTTTTTTAAATAGTTTAAAATATTGATATTTTCTTATTTTATCTTGTAGATTAATATACAAAAAATGGTATTATTCATATCAAAAAGTCGAAGAAAAAATAATAATAAGTGAGATGAAAAATTGAAATAATTTATAAGCTATAGTTATGAACAAAATATGTGTGATAATAATAATAATATCGTTTTTAGAATATATAATTGGTCGTGAAGTGGAAGGAGTTTGTAGAAAATAAAAATAGTTGAAAGAAACTAGAAGGAACTGGGATGAACTAGAAGGAACTAGAAAAAACTAGAAGGAACTGGAAAGAACGGAAAGGACTGGAATAACTAGAAGAAACTGGAAAGAACTAGAAGGAACTGGAAGCTAAAGAACTGAAAGAAACTGAAAGTTAAGAGTTCAAGCTCTAAAGAATTGGCTCATAGTATTTGAAAATATGTTTTAGAGAAAGTTTTCAAGTATTTTAGCATCATGGGGTAGACGGTGTAGCGTGGTGGAAAAATGATGGAATATGAGAGATGGCGGAGGACGATTGGGTGGGAGATAAGGGGCAAGGGATGCGGGTGGATAGGAGATCCTTGTTTCTTTAACTTTAAATATTGACTATGTGGCTTGCACGAATTCTTCTTCACCTCACCAAGCTAAGTTATAATTATACATTTTTTATTTTTTAAACAATTTTTAAAATATCAAAAAGTTAGTTAGTTTCTTGTTCCAAAATTAAGTTGTTTATTTTTTTGGCTATTTCAAAATTTACCTCTCATTCATTTTCATGCATTTTTTATCTTGTTTGAGGCTATTAGTAGCGCCCCACTACCACTCACTCCAAAACAGCAGTCATTCAGTGTCACATCAGCATCGACTGCACTCATCAAATAATGTTATGATGAAATCGAGCTGAGGGACTAGTAAAGAACACGGAGGACTAGCAAAGACCGTCTAATGCCAAATCAAAATTTGAGTTAAAAATCCACCAAGTAATCATAATTGTCTAGCCAATGATTCCAACACTTCGAACATGGGGAGACAAAAGATTTATATATGTTCTTGAGCCGATGATTCTCACACCTCGTAAGTTGAGATTTGAGAACACCTTGACGAAAATATTGTCTGGCTCAAGCATCTCAGTCCAAATGTTTCAAATTGCTCCGTATTTATGAAAATCAGTCAAAATTGGACCATGTTAAATAAGATATAAAGAATAAAATATTCTCCAAGATGCTTATGCTTCTCGTATAAAAAGAGATCTCGTTTCTATTGAAGAGGGGGCCCTCATGCACTCTCTCTATCTCTTACATTCTCTCTCAATATTATCAATTTATCATCATCGTCTTCATGGAATTTTGAAGCTTCCATTAGTGGCTTCTAAGCCAAAATTTTGTATCACGTTCAACTTTTGATATTAATAAAGCTCCACTATTGGTAATATATCACTGAAAAGATCTATAACTTTCCCCAATTGATTTTCCACGTAAGAATCATTTGACTTATATTTTTAGTTATTTGTTTGACTAATTTATTGTTTTCGTCAGACTAATAAGAAAGATACCCATAGGGGTATATCTATGTGCATGTTAATGGAGGCACTTGCCCCCAATTAATTTTAAACTTTTTTTGATAGTACCTTTTTTCTTTACAAGTTATGAGTTATGCCCCCATAAAAAAATCCCAAAAAAAAGAAATTTCAAGTTGAAAATAAAAGAAATTAAATATGAAATATTTATTATTTAAACTAACAAGAATATGATTTGGAGATTAAAATGAAATCAAATTTCTGAGTATTTTAAAATTTTCTTTAACAAATTGAATGCTTCTTTGAGTTGATTTTTTTAGACTGCTATTGAACTACACAATAGTCTCGCCCCTAATATCTTCGATTTATGGACTTGCCATTGGGGGTTGATATAACTTACACTATCAATTAACATGTCAAATATAAAATTCTTTTTTAAGTATTATTGACTCAATTACAATATAGTATAGTTTATTTTTTCAATATAATGATACATAATGGGACCAATGTCTTCATATCAAATGGTGAGCTTCCTACCACTCAAACTAAAGGAGAAACTATGAAATACTATAAAATTTTAATACTCCATATATGTTTAATGTAAATTACGTTAATAAAAGAATATGTTAAACTATTAATTAAAGCTTCAAAAAAATGTTGTATATATAGATATACTCGGTATTTTATAAAAAATTAATATTTCAAAATTACGTTTTAAAATGATTTTTTTTTGAAGAAATACACAATATTAACAACCAGCAAGATTCTGTTGACATTGATATCTAGTGTCATCGAATGACACTTGCTCATTTGGAACTCCTCCGATGCTCCAAATGAAAAATTGATGGTTCATTCCCCACTAATCTCTTTCTTAAACCTCTCAACCCCTGTCTGACTCATGCCGCCCACTCAAGCTAGTCTCCCCCTTTAGCCCTTCCAAATGTGAGGCTATTATGCATTACATAATAGCCACAAATTTGGAAGGGATAAGAGGGTGTAGGGTGGGGGCACATGAGTCAGGTTGGGGTGCGGTTTAGGGAGGGGATTAGAGAAAGTAAGAATCATTAAATTTGTGAATGAAGCATCGAAGAAATTCCAAATGAGTGATACTAAATACCAATATCAATGGAACTTTTCCATATTAATATTATCTAACATCAAAATAGAATATATATTTTTAATTTATAAACTCAAAGTTTACAAACATTAACTAATAAAAGTAAAATGATAGGGGTAAAAAATATTCTTCATAGTACTTTGAAGTCACCCATTCAAAGTTTCGAAATAGAAGTATTGGATCATTTACAAGGAGTATTTTTTTGATTGAAGTCATCTTCAAGCATAACCATTGTATGAAACACATTTGTCTGCAAAACAAATTCAATATATTTCAAAACCATTTTCTCTCGTCACCTTCCGCGATCATTCGGACAACCATCGCCATTTCCCGGGGATAAAATGATGGCGCCGGAGAGCCAGGGAGATTCTCATATCCCAACCACAACAGATGCCCCGACGGAGATCCTGGCTCTCGAAGACGGAGGAGTTTCGATCTCAAAATCATACTCTAATGATCCCAACGACATTACAACGCTTCCGAACTCGGGACACCCTCTCTCGCCGTCAGTCGCCGCCTCTGCCGACGCCGATCGCATCCGCTCTCCGCCGCGCCATGTACATTCGATCGGGGACTCGGGCTCTCAACACAATGTCCATCTCGAATCTCCATCGTATGCGGATGCACAGGTTCGTTACACAGACGGCCACGGTAGTTCCGTACAAGAAGCTAATGTCTGCCACGGTCCCGTTACAGACCTGGAAAATTGGGGTAAGCTTTCGCGCTTTAGCTCGTATGACTCGACGTATTTGAAAGTTGCTGTTTCGGATCCACAGAAAGTGGTTGAATCGTCGAATTCAATAGTCCCCGGAGTGAACACCTTTTTTACCTATTTGATTACAACTGAGACAAACATTCCTGATTATGATGGATCCAAGTTCACCATCAGGAGACGATTCAATGACGTAGTAACTTTAGCAGATCGATTGAGTGAAGCTTATAGAGGGTTTTTTATACCTCCAAGACCTGATAAGAGTGTAGTGGAAGGCCAAATGATGGAAAAGAAAGATTTTGCCGAGCAGAGGAGAGCGGCATTGGAGAGGTATTTGCAGAGGCTAGCTGTGCATCCGGTGATCAAGAAGAGTGATGAACTAAGAGTGTTCTTGCAAGTGCAGGGGAGGCTTCCACTTCCAACTAGCATTGATGTTGCATCCAGGATGCTCGATGGGGCGGTGAAGCTCCCCAGACAGTTGTTTGGGGACCATGGGAATGCGATTGAACCTCAGGATGTGGTGCAGCCTGCAAATAATGGCAGGGATTTGCTGAGATTGTTTAAGGAATTGAAGCAGTCTGTGGTAAATGATTGGGGCAGTTCAAAACCACCAGTGGAGGAGGATGATATGGAGTTCTTGGCAAAGAAAGACAGACTTCTTGATCTCGAGCAACACCTAAGTGACACGTCAAAGCAGGTTTTTCCTTTTGATGTTTTACTTCATCAGCGATTTACTGTACTTGTTGCTACTAGTGGTGTTCCACATCATCAATGTTCATCAATTTGCTGAGAGCAACATCAGTCTGTCATTGGGAGCTCAAGCCCACTATCAAATGAGTGAATGTAAATAGCATGAAACAAATGCAGAAAATGAAAGAGAACAAGTAAAGTGAAAAAAGGGTTGTCTAGTTCATTGTGATAGCAATGGAACTGTTGGGACTTGGTAATCAAGTCCCTAGCATGTCAAGCACTAAAACAATTTATATAATGTAAATCTTGGCTGAACAAATGAAACGCGTGCGAGTAAAAGTAAAACAGAAGGTGAATATGAATAAACCAGATCCAATCAAGAAGGATTCAACCAAAGAGCTATTCTAGGGTTGGAACTCATCATTTTTAACTAAGCCAAGCTAAGGGATAGAGACACAGAAGGATCTAATTCGGGGATTTAGAGTCACAAAAGACTGGCAACTTGTTTATTGCATCTAGGCTATTGGCTGTTGACTCAATATCACGCTCTGCAAAACTCCTTTAGTGCCAATTCTTGTTTAAACATCCCAATTCACATTCATATTTCATAGGTAATTGAAGACAAGACATAATATAAGCACACGCCACCGAGCAACACACAATCTCATTGAAACCTTCACTTCTGTGATAGATCCACATGACATTGTGGCAGGTTGAGGTGAAGCATTCCTCTTTTGGGGCTATCTTCATTCCAAGGAGATAGAATTTAATGAAACTATGCCATAGTTGTATAAAGTAAGCAGTGAAATGCACACAATCTAGGCTAGATTTATTCAAATGAATAATCTGGCATGGAAACCTTAAACCTGCCAACATAGGCTAGCTAAATCTAGCATAGCATGTTTTGATCTAGTAATTAAGTAAAACATAACAAGCATGAAAAAATAAGATTGAGAGAGAGGGGAAAACAACTCTTTGTGAGTCACTTGTAGATTGACAATAGAATGGCTGAGTCCTTAATCTCTCGAGGAATCCAATTTAGAATTGACTATTTCCCTCTAAGCAATGCCATGAGACCCTAGAATACAGGGGTCCACCATGTTCGGGACTGTGGCAGTGAGAGGCGCAAGCAGCCCAAACCACGGGTCAACCACTGAACCATGGCATTGACCTCGGGCATGGTCCAAGCCGTGGTCGAGGATGCTCTTTAGACATGGCAAAACCGTGAGTCATCTGTGGGCATGGTGGACTATATGGTCATTGGCACAAACCTTAGCATGATCATTCATCATTAGCCCTTAATAAGTCTCTTGTCTTCTCCTTGATGTACCTATGTGTATCCATGCTCTTTTAACATGAAAAAATCAAAAATTACAAGTGTGAAACTTGTCAAACAAGGGAAAGGAACTAATAATATACGTAGTATACAATGTACACGCAAACAGAGGGGGCATTGCAAATCTTGGCCAATAACAAATATACAATGGCCAAAGTGTGTAAGTGTACATATATGACACATCAAAGCAGGGTTTCCTTTAAATGTCTTACTTCACCAGTGATTTCTTGTAATTCTTACTGCTAGGAATACTAGTGGTGTTTGCATTTCAGCGTTGATATGCAAACAAGTTTCCATTTGCAACAATCTAGTGGTACCTTTTAAATTATTTGTATATCATCTATAAATGAATACTCCAAATAAAATGATCTATAATTATACCCCACCTTTATTATTTAGTTAATCTTCGAGTTGTTCTTCATTATACGTGCTATTTTTTTTGAATTTAGGCCGAGGCTCTTGTTAAAGCCCAAAGAGATATGGGGGAAACACTAGGAGAAATAGGGATAGATTTCCTACAGATGGCAAATTTTGAGAACGAATGGGCAAATTTGAATGCACAGAGAGTACGAGCAGCTGATATGAAAAGTGTAGCAAATGCAGCTGTCAAAACAAGTAGATTACATCATGATCTACACATTTGTGATGTGAAATATCTGGTATCTACTTTTATTTTCTTCTAAATATTTTGTAAATTTTGGACAGCTATGACTTGGCTGCAAGGCTTAAATTTTTATATTATTATCATTTTGAGTTTTTCAACATTGAGCATCTGCTATCTATGTGAAAGTTTTCTCAATATTTTATTTTGTAGGATATCCTGCATGAACATTTGTGGTTAATGATGGCTCTAAGATATGCATTTTCTGATCGTTCAAAGGCTTTACTAACAGTACAGACTCTTCTGTCAGAGCTGTCATCTTTAAATTCAAGGGTTGAGAAGCTTGAAACAACATCATCCAAAGCAGACAAATTAAGGATTCAGAAGTTAGAAGAATTGAAGGATGCTATAAAAACCACAGAGGATGCTAAAAGTTGTGCAGTCAAAGAATATCAACGCATCAAGGTATTTAAGTTCAAACTAGGGAGTATGAACAATTGAAGTTTTAAAAAATTTAGTTTTATACTTTCTAGTTTAGGTTTACAAAATTCAATTGTTCTAAGTTTGGTCAATGAGTTAATTTTTATGATCTTATTCTTAAAGTCTTGTATTCCTTACATAGTTACCCACCTGTTCTATTAATCTGGTGCTTGGTTGAGTGACCCAGAATTGCAGATTCCATTCTGGTTTGCCTGACATCCTAGCTCGACCTACGGTCGGACTGGCAAGGCGCAAGGCCAACTGGGTTTGACTTGTTAAAACCTTCAGATAGTGTTCTGTCCAAGATGAATTAATCAATTAAGTAACTAGTCATGTGAAGATTGTTGCTAGCTATTTATGTATTCACATTGATTTTTTGTTTGACAACCATTTATTATGCCTAAAATTTTCTTTGCTCACATTCCGTGTTTCCAAGAAAGCTATTGTTGATTTCCAGTAACTCTTTAGCAATTTTAATGTTATATTTATTATAGTGTATATTAATTGTCGAAAGCAGGAGCATAATAAAAGTGAAATTGAAAGACTAGATAGAGAAAGACACGGTGACTTCATAATCATGTTGAAAGGATTTGTGATTAGCCAGGTATTCTCTATGGCTCTGAAGTCTAATGAATTCGATATTCGGGCAGTGTTCTATGTTTTTTTGTTTCAAACTGTTACAAGTCTAACTTGGTTAATGCATGGACTTCACTAAGACTTACATTACAGGTGGCTTATTCAGAAAATATTGGAAATGAATGGGCAAAAGTTGCAGAGGAGACTCGCCAGTACGCAAGATATGCTGCATAATGCAGACTGTATAAACAACTTTTTTTAATATATTTTATAATTGCTTTAGCTCATGTACCATACCCTTGTACAATTCTTTCAAATCTCACACAAGGAGTAGTTCAGCTGCATAACTTTTACTTCTTTTACACATCTTCACAGCTCAGTCATTTTTTGTATTTCTTGTTTAATTCTTTTGTCTCGGGTGATTAAACTATGGATTTAATCAATTATACTTCATATGTTTATACTCCGTATATTTTTTGCTACAAATATTATTGAGCTAAAATATTACTCACCTTGAATTCTTCAATGAAAAAAGTTATACATTCAAAAAGCTCTGTTTAGATATATTTTTTAAAATCTCAAAAAAGTATGGAGTATGTCTAATTTTTTATAAATATATACTATACCATTAAGTTTTTCAGTGTCTTCTTTTTAAAATCTCAAGGAAGTAGTTGACGAATTCTCATTTTTCTTCCTTTTTGGACAAACAGAGAAAGTAAATGAGTAATATATACAAAGTATTTCTACAAGTGTATCACACTTTAAAGATCAATTTATTGTCATTTCTCATGATGTGTCATGTGTGTTTGTTGATCTCATTATTTCAATCTTATAATGGAACATGACTATAACAACAATCTCAGCTCATATATCCACCATGAAATGGTTCATGTAAGTGAAAAATATATGTGGTGATGACAATCTTTGTATCCCATCTCAATTCTCAATCTATGCATTTGAAAATATAGCATACAATGGTTATGCTATATCATCAATCTTTTTTTTTAATTATTTTTGGTTTTCAAATGAACATCGGCATATACATTGTTTAGAAAATGAAAGATGGTTGTGACTTTTGTAGATTGTTAATAGTTCAATCAGCATATATTATTTCTGTTATTGTTTAATTGCTTGGAGAGATGTTTATATGGAATTGCTTGGAATCCTTTGATACACTCCATTTCTATAATCATTTGAATAGAGTCTGAACATTTTTTATGGTGATTGACCTAATTAACGACATGGAGCAGTGAAGTTCTGTTCACTAGCTATCACTTCACCTGCGTCTATGTTTTGCAATATGCCTTGCCATGTTAATGAAATTTATTTCTATCTGATTGGGAAACTAATATTAATATTCAATAAATATTAATATTAGTTACTGAAGTTCTGTTCACTAGCTATCACTTAAAAGGATTAGCTAGGTTCAAAACCATAACTTAATATTAACATTTAATAACTTCACTGTAGTATCTTTTTTATTCTTTTTTTTTTAAAAAAAATCTCTTCAATATGCTGAAGTATGCAGAATGCAGAAACACTTAATTCATGGGAAATAGAAGCTCTGGTATTCATTGCAAATTTGCTACTCCAGGTTAAGTTATGGTTTTGAACCTAGCTAATCCTTTAAAATTTCCCTCCTGGAATTCTTCAGTCTCAAGCTCATCCAAATAATCCATTCACATGTGATAATAAGTTATGAAGGCCATAGACCCTTCAGAAGGGATTCTGTAATATAGCGGTATGTTGCTTCACTGGGATGAATGCTGTCCCAGAATAGGTACTCTGACGAATTTGTGCACGTTGGACGGCGCATGATACACAGTGGTCCCGCTTCCAACAATCCAGTGCCACAGCATCCTTGCCCTGTCTCGACAAATCCTGCAATGTGATCCAAGTATTTACTTCTACCCCTTGTTATTGTATTGTGTGTAGGCCAAGCATATACCTATTGATGAAATAAATCCTGATTTGTTGATTATTCTGCATTGGTGATTGTCTATGAGGTTGAGTTTTGAATCTATAATTTAAATGCTATGGCAATTTCACCACACTTTTGGGGTTGAGCTTAGCCCTAATGATGGTTTGTGAGGCATATGTCTACTTGGTGGATTGGGAGGCAGCCATTCGGGATTGTTTTGGGCACATTTGTCCACCCCTTAAGCTAGTGCTTGTGCTTGTGTGCTTTTGGTGTAGTTGGTTCAGTCAGTATGTGTGTGTGTTTTTCTTTTCTTTTCTCTCTACTCATACTTCGTTAGTGCTACTGTGGTCTATTTGCTAGTACTCCTGTACTCGAATCGGGGGTCTCTTGAAAACTGTTTCTATACTCCCAAGTAGGGGTCAGGTCTGCGTACAGTCACCCCAGACCCTACTTTTTTGTGGGATTCTATTAGGTTTTTTGTTGTTGTAGTCGTCCACCCCTTAAGCTGGTCTGCGGCGGGATATGCTGAGTATCATATAATGGGTGTCTAGCTAATACCCGTAGTATATTTCTAGACAATCTTTTTTGGGGTGAGTTGGGCCTACCGTGTCTTTGTGGATTGTTGATCAACTCCATCATAGGATTGTATGCATCTGAATACAAAATTGTGCTCCCCGGAAGGGACTCCTGTATGCGAGGCAGCAAACGCACAAGCTTGGCGTTATAAATCCGCGCATCTAAATTTTCCTCTTCAAGACACGTCCTCAATAGCAGAGAGCGAGCAGTCATTTGTATAGGTAAACATCCCATTGGAGGAAGCCCGGTGACCAAGATGGTACGGCATCCTAGCTTATAAATTCCCTGAAAGTCGTAGAAACAGAAACAAATTCAGCCACTTTTAGGCCTTACCAAACAACAACAACAACAGCCCAGTTGAATCCCACTACAGTAGGGTCTGGGGAGGGTGTGTGTACGCAGACCTTGCCCCTACTCGGAAATAGGGAGGCTGTTTCCAAGAGAGCATCTATCACTGAATTCAAATCTAGTATTCAGCTCAATACTATTTCCATCATCTCCGATGGAGCCAAAATTTCACCATTTTTTGGCTTTGGGGTGTGATGGAATAAATCAAAATGGATCTCTAAACTGTCTGCGCTTCTTTAATTAATGAAGTAGCAGTTAGTCAAGCAATGCAACTTTCGACGTTGAGCTGGGGGTCTCTTTGGAAATAGCCTCTCTACTTTCGAGTAGGGGCAAGGTCTGCGTACACACACCCTCCCCAGACCCTACTCTTGTGGGATTTAACTGGGTTGTTGTTGTTGTTGTTGTTGTATTCAGCTCAATACTCACTCCGTTTGGATTTAGTTGTCCACTAGTGTATAGGGGGGTGTATATACAGACCTTACACTTACTTGAAAGTACTGTTTCTTTTCAAGAATATGTTAAGCAATTCATGTGATTTTATTCCCTGAATATAGTTATCTAGGCAACTAATTTCGGATGTCACAGAAATAGGAAAAGTGGGCAACTAAATCCAGACCGTGGGATTAATAGATTGCAGGGCTAGTCGTTTTACCTCAATAAACCTTCGGAGCTTCAACTGAAGAAAATCTTGATAGCCACCAATGCTAAACTGCTGCCTTCTTGTAGGAATGTCATAGTAATTGAAGATGAAGTCATTGGGTGCTGCACTGATGACGACGAAAGCATGGTTAATTATCCTCTCTGCCTCTTCCTCTCCTGCAATTCCCTTCACCATCTCTATGTACTTCTGGAACATGGTCACCTGCTGCGACATCGGGATCACTCTAGACGCAATGGTCGTTAACTCGTCCAATCCTGACCCCGCCGAGGCAAAACTGACCCCGGTCAGGAGTTCTTCTTCGGGCAGGTACGGCTGCAGGAATGGAGGAACACTGTCCTTGATTCCCAGGGCAGATGCCAGGAGATCAGGGACGAGCATCCCGTCCGAAAACCTCCCTGTCGGGATCTTCCCGGGAAACCCCTGCCCGTAAGGTGGGTGGTTTCCCTTGAATGCTGTTGGGATGTAATTGTTATTCCCAGTGTCGACCGTTGAGTCTCCGAATATAATGATTGCAGAGAAGCTGGGCAAGGATTGGCCAATGCAGGCGTCCATGGCGATGATGATGATGATGGCAGCAGCAGCCATGGAAACTACTGCGTGGAAGCTGGCCATGTCTTTGAGAGAGCTCACTCACTCACTCAGGTAATCTTTTTCTTTATTTCATTTGAATTTCATATTTATATATGCCATTGGCCGCAGCTCTTATCCTCTGAAAGTTTTCAGTCTGAAAAAAATGCACCATTCTTGGGAATACACACGTTTTTTTTAATATCGTGTGAAGCGTGCATGATAAGATCACATTAATCTGTTCTTTTTTTAGAAAGTATAGATGCAATTTTGTCTCATTATATGTATAAAAAAATTATATGAATCTGAAAACAATGATTGGTTGATTATTGTGAGTAAAGTCGTGAATTTCCATTTAATGCATTGAAGAGCAATGCCCTTGCTCCTCCAACATTTATTACAATAAAGATACTACACGAATTTAATTTTAATTTAATTTAGTAACGCTCCACAATCTTTTTTTAACTATGTTACGGGAATCTGAAGTTTGTCAGTCTTGAGAATATACAGAGTTTAACTGGAGTCTATAATCTAGATTCTAGTAATTGGAGTCTGGAGTCTAGAGTATAGGGGCAATCATAATTTTAACTAAAATTTGGACTTTAGAGTTTGGAGTCAAGATGATATAAACTATAAAGTTGAAAAGAACAATCGGAGTTTTTCAATGGGAAGGAACTAAGTTCTAGAGAACCAAATAGTGATTTATAGTTTGTGAATTGAATCACAGTAAATTTTATAATTAGTACTTTAAAATTAGAATTTTTTCATATTTTGTCTTTTACTATCAAATATGGAGTATTATGTTTTGGCCCTTTGTTTATGGGCATCTTGCCATTGATACTCTTTTATTTTACCTCTCGTCATGTTGGTGTTAAATTGAGAACTGAAAATTTAATTTCATACCAACCTAGGTCCGACCATGTATTCTACTGCCGGATTGGTTGACAACACAACAACAGTGACTAAGATCGCGTACTTGGATTCTGATCAGCAACGACAACGGTGGACTTTGATCGCGGTGACCGACAACTCCAGCAGACGAACAATGCATCAACAACGACCGCTGTCGTTGGCTATGGCTAGAAAGATTTAGTCCTCAATTTAAGACCAACACGATGGAAGGTAAAAAAGGAAGACTATTTGTGGAAGGGTACAATATAAAGAAAGGACCATGAAAATAAAATTTTGTAATAGAAGATTACATATAGAAAATTTCTTGTTTTAAAAGACCAATTATAGAATTTAGTCATTAAATTGTTTTAAAGGAATGATTTCAATTTCCCATCATTTGTTATGGAGCCAAAGATTTACATTTTTTTACTTTGAGGTATGATAGAATAAAACAAAAAAAACTCTTTAAACTATTTGCGCTTTTTTTAAACAATGGAGCGGTATTTAGTCAATGCCACTTTAACACTAATCAAGGACCATTTGGGAATATCTGTTATGTATTTTGAACATAAAAGTCAGGTTGCATCCGACCCACCCCTATCCTGCAAATGGGCAAGACCGTTTAAGGCACTTGAGTAATTTTTTCCCCAAATTAGTAACATGGGCTTAAGTCTTCTTTTATGGGCCGAATGACTTTCTTCTCGTACCCATTATAAGTCCCCTACTTCCCGAGCATTGTGCAACGATGGTTGGGAGAAATAGCCAAAGTCCCCTAAATGGAAGAAGACAAGGATGCCAAAATATTCTCCAAATTCAAAACTTCCCCAAAAAATTTGATGTTGAACTCGAATGAAATTAAAAGTCATGCTCTATCCGTCTAAAAATTATCTTCTCATTTACTATTTACATGGTAAAAATAATATAGTCATGACGCTTTTAATTTTATAAATTCTTTGATGTTTTTTAAATATGCACTCCGTATTTTTTTAAATTCCACGTCATTTTTCATATAAAATACTCCGTAATACTCTCTCCATTCTAAAATAGTATTCCTAATTACTAATTACATGGTTAAACTTTAATCCCTTTTTTAAATCTATTTTAGTTAGTTATTTGATAAAATAATATGATCATGTCACGTCTTGTTTTGTAGAACTTTTGATGTAGTCTTAAAATATATAATTTTTAGTTTTAAATTTTAAACCTATAACTAAAACTATAATTAAATAAATTGAATTAAAAATAATTTTAGTCAAATTTCGTAAATCGAATTGGCATGGAGAGGGTAATTCATTAGGGCACTGAGTATACCCTTAACGCCCGTCGGCGTGAGGGAGCTTTTAACGCCCAGGGGGCGTTAAACACTGCCCCCGGCGTCATCCCAGAAGCGTCATTCGTTTGACGCGGCTCAGCGAGCCGTTACCTCCCCAACGGCTATATAGCCGTTCCCCCCCCCCTAAATTAAAAAAAATCAAAATTAAAAAAAAACCTATAAATTCCCCTTAAAAATCATTCTTTCACACATCTCTCACAGACAATATCTTCTCTCTAAAATATTTATTATTTATTATAAATATTTATAAAATATATTTTAAAAATAGGATCATCTTCATCCGACGACGAAAAAAGAGCTCTCTTTATTCTCAAACGAAAATGAGGAATATCATGTACGCATGTATTATTCTTCATAATATGATCATAAAGGACAACGGGACTGCGATTTGTCAATACAACCCGGACGAGGAGGTGTCTATGTACGAAGAAATCACCGAAGAAAAGAAACGAAGAAACCGCCGAGAAATTCGAAGCCGAGAGATTCACAATGCAGTAACGGCGGATTTGATCGAACATATCTTTAGTCGCTCGAATAATTAGTGATTTCTTTGTAGTGCTGTTTTTTTATTGTAATATTTTTTTAATGAATGTAATTTTTTTATGAATGTGTTTTTTATGAATTTAATTTTGTTTATGAATGTATTTTTTTATGAATGTATTTTTTATGAATGTAATTTTTTTAATGCACTAGTCTCATTGTGATTAATTTAAATAATAAATTAATTTAAATTTATTAATTTAAATTTAGAAGATGTATATTTAAAAATGTAAAAAATGAAGGTTTGAAGCCCCAGTTTGAAGCCTCGGGACTTCAAACCCATTTCCAGTGAATTTTTTTGTGTAAGTTAAAGCTGACGAACAGAGAAAAAAAGTTTGAAGCCCGGCACATCAAACTTATTTCGAGTGCCCATACATATGAAATCATTCAAAATCCATCAAATATAGACATCTAATTGGCTAATGGTCATGGCAGTATGGCACATGATCCACGCAGATAATGGACCAGTAAATGATAGGAGTACGTGCGTTAAATTAAATGTGATGTGCGTACACTGATAACAATAGAATAGATGGATGCATATTCATAATCCATCCACTTTAAATTTGATGCAGACCACTACTCTCTCCGTCTTAAAATGTTCTTCACAATTGATATTTCTTGATCAAAGTTTATAAACTTTGACTACGATTTGTGGAAAAACACATTGTATTATGATTTAAATTTAATATCAATATATTCATAATGAAACGTAGTTTTCAAATATCAAATTTTTATAAAATATATTTATGTCTAAATATAGATATTAATGGTCAAAGTGCAATATTGGAGGCCGTGAAAAGTCAAATGGGAAGAACATTTTCAGACGGAGAAAGTATTATAACTAAACTAGTCAACCCCATTAATACCCGGCAATTAATACGGAGTAATTAATATTTGTCCAGTTGTACTAAAAAATTGTTAGATATTGATAAAAAAAGAGTTTTATTATATATTTTTTTTGAGAACAACCAACTTTCATTAATTCAAAAGAGACATAAGAAAATCAGGGGGGGCAAAATCCCAATCACCTGTCTGAGTTTCAACCCGCCTAGCTAACGTATGCGCTACCACATTGAGACTTCTACGAACATGAGAAACCAAAACAGATTCAAACGAGGCCATGAGGGCCTTACAGTCATCAATCAAAGACCCGAAATAAGAAGCACAATCCGACACACCACTATCATTAATTGCCTCTACGACACGAAAACAATCAGAAAAAATAACAGCAACCTGGACTCCAAGACTTTTGAGCCACGACAAAGTCTCCCGGCATGCCACAGCTTCTGCCAACAATGGATCTTGCGGGCACCACAACCGTCGAGCAAAAGCCGCTTGAAATTCCTTAGAAGAGGAGAAAATCACTCCACAAGCACCAACCAGACCCGAAGCATGGAATAGAGCAGCATCAAAAAAACAATGGGCAGCTTCAGGGGGGAAAACCCTCTCTGCCGAAGGAGTTAAGGTGGGGGGATCCTCTCTATGATTATTCTCCCACCCTTTCGAAAAATTCAGCACCATGCGAACTGTTACCTCTGGGGTTGGCACCCGTTGTTCCCATACGGCTGCATTCCTACACTTCCAAATCATCCAGATTGTCCACACAATGTGGATTAGCTCACTGGACGTGGCTGTCTGAAACACCAGCTGAACCCAGTTCGAGAACGAACTCGCCGCCGATCGATTAGCCACCCGGAAGCTACTGCGTTCCCACACATATTCTGCAAACGGGCAACGAAGAAACAAATGATCCACTGTTTCACTCAGCTGGCCACAAATGGAACAACAATTATCAATTTCCAAACCTTTGGAATTCAAGGCCGAAACAGTTGGGAGGATTCCTCGCAGTGCACGCCAAACACAAACCTTTACTTTGGGAGCTACTGGAATCCTCCACAGTCGGCTCCATTGTGAAAAACCTGGAGTTTGGGTAGCCTCCCCCATAATCCTACGATACCCTGACTTCACTGAGTAAAGGCCGTTCTCACTACCAATCCAAAACCAGTTATCTTTACGCCGAGGGCAACATGGAATCATCTGCACCTGAGATACGTCACATTGCACAAGATGAGTTTGAAGCCTCTCTAAATTCCAACAGCCCCTATTAGCATCAATAAAAAAACTCACCGGCAAGTTAGCACTTGGTGAAGCTAACACGGTGTGAAGAAACGGGTTATCTCGGTCCAACAACCACGGCGTACCCCACGCCATTGTTTCGACCCCATTCCCAATACGCCTGCGTACCCCCGCTTTAACCAACTCCTGGGCTGCCATAATGCTCTGCCAACAATAACTTGGATTAGACCCCAAACCTGCTTCAAGGAATGTAGAGTTAGGGAAATATCTAGCTTTGAAAACCCGTGACACAAGAGCCTCGGGTTTGGTCAAGAGCCGCCACCCCTGTTTACCTAGCATGGCAATGTTGAAGTAATGAATGTTTTTGAAGCCCAAACCCCCAAACTTTTTAGGAACAGACAACTTATCCCATGACATCCAATGAATTCCCGAGGCATTAGACCCACCTCCCCTCCACCAAAAGGAATTCATTAGCTTCTCAATACGATCACAAATAGACAAAGGGAGACGGAACACACTCATAGCATATTGGGGCATAGCTTGTGCAACAGTCTTAAGCAAGATTTCTTTCCCGGCTTTAGAAAGCAATTTTTTACTCCATCCACCAATACGATGTCGAATCTTGTCAAGAATGTAAGTAAAAACCCCTTTTTTATCCCTTCCTAAGAAAGAAGGGAGACCCAAATATTTCCCAAAATTATGGGCTGAGGTGACACCAAAAAAAGAGGTAATCCATTGCTTCAACAAAGGGGGGACATTCAGACTGAAACAACCATTAGATTTATGAAAATTGATAACTTGACCTGAGATCCGTTCGTACTCAACCAAACAATTTCTCACTGCACCTGCCTCATCAGGAGAAGCCTTGAAGAGCAAAAGACTATCATCAGCAAAGAATAAATGAGAGATAGGCGGAGCCCCTCTACAAACTCGGATCCCATGAATCACACCTCGTCTTTCCGCATCCTGTAAAAGTAACGAGAGACCCTCAGCACAAATAATAAAAAGATAGGGGCTCAGCGGGTCGCCTTGACGGAGCCCTCTGCTCGGGGTGATAGGTTCCGTAAATTCACCATTCAGCGCAATCTTATATTTAACAGTGGTAACACAAAGCATAATAAGATTAACCCATCTCTGATCAAAGCCCAGCCTCAACATCATAGTACGCAAAAAATTCCACTCCATCCTATCATACGCTTTAGCCATGTCCAACTTGAGGCCCACCCAACCAGTGTTTCCCCCTTGCTTACGACGAAGAAAGTGACCCAACTCTGCAGCAAGAAGAATATTATCTGAGATCAAGCGCCCCGATATAAAGGCTGATTGGGTATGAGAGATAATATCCGAGAGCATAAACTTCATACGATTGGCCAAAACCTTCGCTATGATTTTGTAGACAACATTACACAAGGCAATAGGTCTTAAGTCTGCAACCGTCTCAGGAATGTCCTTCTTTGGAATTAAAACAATAGTCGCATCATTCAAATTGTCTGGGAAAACTCCCTCATTCAAACATGAAAGAACAAATCTCGTAACTTCTGAACCAACCAGGTCCCACGTCTTTTGATAAAATCCCGGATTCATCCCGTCAGGTCCTGGTGATTTGTCTGGATGCATAGCAAAAAGCGCCTTTCGAACCTCCACTTCTTCAAACGGCCTAAGAAGCATATCATTATGCACTGGCGAAACCTTCGGCGTAATCTGATCAAAAAAAGTTGATTGAGCAGCCCCTGTAGAGTCAAAAATTTGATTGAAATAATGCCAAACCAAAGGTTTAAGGGCTACACCCTCACACCACTGTCCTGCACCATCCTGTAACCGGGCAATATGGTTTTTCTTTCTCCGATAAGATGCACATTGATGGAAATACTTAGTGTTAGCATCTGCCGACCGAAGCCAGTGTTGCTTAGCCCGTTGACGCCAATAAATATCCTCCTGTTCCAGGAGTTTCGACAACTCCCTGTCAAGTCGATTAAACTCCCTCAACCCCGTAGCACTACGACACCCCCTATATCTTTCCACCTCAGCCTTTAACTACTTAATCCGTTTACCAAATTTATGCATCTTATCACCCCTGAAGCCATCAACTTCTTACCACAATAACCCAACCTGTCGTGGAGAGAAAGTGTTGACGATGAATTCCAGGCCTCCTTGATCACATCCTTATAACCGTCATCACGAAGCCATGCATTTTCAAACCGGAACTGTTTCATCCGCCGCTGAGTACACGGTTTAGTTAGACATAAAAACAAAGCAGAATGGTCAGATGTCCGCATGGGGTGATTTATTACGCAAGCATGGGGATGAAGCACACACCATTCACAAGTACTAACGGCACGATCCAGACGTTCTTCAACCCAATTCTCCGTGCCTCTACCCGGCTCCCACGTGAAAGGGTATCCCTGCATACCAAGATCAAACAAACGACACTCCGCCAAAGTTGAATTAAAAGCAGAAATCAATGAAAGAGGTTGAGGCTGACCCCCTCTCTTCTCAGAAGAAGCACAAACCGCATTGAAATCACCGATGACCACCCACGGTAAAGAAGATCTGACCTTTAATGAGCGAAGGAGATCCCACGAGGTTTGTCGAAGGTCTCTTCTAGGATTCCCATAAAATCCAGTGAGCCTCCAAGGGAGAGCACCTTTCAAGGAGACCATAACATCAACATGAAACCGTAAGTAACTAATGAGATTAACCGAGCGGTTTGACCTCCAGAGTAATGCCAAACCACCACTTGCACCAACACTGTCCACAGCAAACAATCCCTCAAAACCAATCTTAACACGAAGAACTTCAGCCTTATCACGAGCACCTTTAGTTTCCATCAGAAAAACAAAATCAAGCTTTTTAGCGAAGACGAGCTCCGCCACTTCCTGAACTGTCCGCAGGTTGCCCAGCCCGCGGCAGTTCCAACTGATGATACTCATTGCTCTCGGCGGGCCTGGAACCCAGAACCCGCCGCCTGCACGTTTTTTGAGAAATCTGTCATGGTTGTATCCACCCCCGAAGGAACCACAATCACTACATCCGAGCCCCTTTTTCGTTTTGAGGCAATTTCCAAGCCATCCTCATCATGTGAGTTACTCTTTGTAGCAGCCGACACCGAAGATCCTGCACCTTCCCCCAATGAAGGATTGTCAAAGCGCAACCATTGTAGACCATAACTAGTATCCTTTTTCCTCCCCCCTGCCCGGAGAGATGCATCAAAAGGGTACTCCTCTGGTTCCAACTCTGATAATACCGCATCACGACAATGTTTCGCTATATGGCCCATTATTCCACAGTAAAAACAAAAACCATTCAAACGTTCATATTTAAAGTTCATCCTCCTACGTAAGGGTTTCTTCACATCAATGGAGACTCTCACTCGAAAATACGAACGATGTATGGAAGGAATTGTGTCATGCTTAACAAAAATACCAACAAACTTACCCACTGCCTCTAGAATTTCCAACGAAGTATACCCATCCGGGAGATCATAAATTTGCACCCACATCTGAACCATATTCAGGTCCTTTGCCTCAACAACCTCCCCTGGACTAAGGAGTTTCATCACTAATGTTGCATTATCAAATGACCATGGACCCTCTTCAATGATTCGGGTTGCATCTTTCATATGGAAGAAGTGAAAGAGATATAGGTTATCATCCTTTTGCACAATTCGCACCCCTAACGCTGGTTTCCAAGCGGCAGCCATAACCCTTTGCATTATGTCAAACTTGATAACCATATCTGTGAGAAATCGACCAACAATCGTCGAGGTGTGGAGGTTAATTTCAGCCGGCGGCGCCCCACCGTCAGGAAGAAACGAAAGCCCCTCTTGTTCTTCATCCAAATCGAGTTGTGCTACCCCGATATTCAATCGATCGACGACTCCTCCTTCCATGGATCTACAGAGGACGAGAAACAGCAGCAAAAATTGGCCAGAAAAAGACGACAAATTGAAACCCTGAAGGCAGGGAGAAAAACCCTAGAGAACGCAGGGAGTCAAAATGTAATATTTATTATATAAGATATTTTTAAAACATTATTTTATCTAATTAACATATAATATTTAATTATAAACCAAAAATTAAAAACAGTTGATAAACAAAAGTCAAACTGGACAAATAGTGACGGATGTAGTAGGTTTTTTTTAGGGAATACTTTTTAGTACGGTGTATTTGTTTCCCTTGGATTGCTTAATTCAGTATTTACTGATTACCCAAAAAATAAAATTAAACAACCATTTTCTTGTCCTTTCCTATCATTTTTGTTTCTTATACGGACTATATTTCAACCTTCCAAAATTAGCTGTTCGTGTTGGCTGGTTTGAACGGCTGGTTGAGGGCCTGTTTGGGAATAGCGTTAGCGATTAGCGTTAGCGTTTTGGATAAAATTTTAACGGAGCAGATTATTTTGAAAACACTAACGCTAAACGCTGTTCGTAGATAGCCTTTTCAAAATTCTAACGCTAATCGTTAAAGCTATTCCCAAACAGGCTCTGAGTCGGCTGCTTTGACCAATCGTTTATGTTGGCCGTTAATAAAAAATGTTTGGCAAATTTAGCTTCTTCAAAATAGCTTTTATAAATTGAATTTAATTTAATGAAATTTTCACTTATATAATTATATGGTATAACATGCTTTTTAATATATATTCTTTCTTTCCTCAAATAAAATTTTAAACTATATATTCTTCTAAAGTCATTATGATGTTATTTATTTATTTATGGTTTTTATCATTCAATTGATTGAATAATATAATTATACGGAGTATCATATTTTGTTTCAAATTTTTTTGATGTAGTTCTTAAATTTATAATTTGTTTATTTCTACACCAAAATCTCAAAAATAAAAATTTAGATTTTTTTTTCTCACAAATCGCTTCATGAAATTTACATACAATAAAAAAATAAAAAAATCTATTTTCCAGCAACCAAACCGAAATGTTATTCCCCGTAGCTCTTTAAATTTTGGCTTTTCGGGCTCAAAGAACCAATCCTTGAAGCCACCTACCAAACAACTTTTTTGGCGATTTGACCGATCAAATCTTCTGAAATGAGTCAAAATAGCCAAAATCCATCCCGAATGCCAAAAACCAAACATGTCCAAAGTGTAACTTTCTTTTTAGATATAATAAAAAAATTAGTTTTTTTAATTAGTATAAAAGTGCTCCCTAGCCCATAAAAAAATAAAAAAGTCTCCACCGCTCAAAAAAGTCTAGCCCAATTATCCAAAACCACCCAATTACAGCCCAAAAATTAGCCTTCTTCCCAATAACTAAAAAAATAGTGCGTTGAATTTGATGTTCATATCATATCTCATCTTTTTTTTACATAAAAAAGATTTTATTTTACTTATTTCAATTTTTTGTTTGAAATTCAACTTATTCATTTTTCATCATTATAAATAGTTTTAAAATATAAATTAAGGACACTGCCCCCGAATCCCGCCCTATCCTTTACTACAAATTTACTTCCAGTCTTATTTTTTTTAGATATACCACAAATTCAAATTATTTAGTGATTTACTTTTATTACTGAAAAGCCAAGGTGTGGAATAATGCTTGGGAGACGTTCCACTTAATTTAAAAAACTATTTTGAAGATTTTTTCATAGTTTAGGTAATAGAGAGAATCAAAGTACCCTCTATTTAATTATCATTTAAGACATTTTTTGAAAAGGACTATTTAAGAAACACATATCAATTATAAAAGATCACGTTAGTAATTTTTGCTTATTGATGATTATTATGAGAAAAAACCTTATTAGATAGGATTATTTTGAAAATTTACTCAAAATATTTTGTCATATTCGGTGAAAACGACTATTTGTGAAATTGTTTTAAAAAATTGAGGGTTGTTTATGAAATATCTTATAATTGGGGACTAAATATGGAAAACTACATATAATGGGGGACCATTTATATAATTTATTTTTTTTTCATTTTCCTTTTTTCCCGTTCTAGAATAAAATTCAAACAATCTATCCAAACAAAACTAAAAATAGAGACTTTGACATTGTAAAACACAATTTGGAATTGTTTTGACATTTGAAAATGTTTTTAGCACTATTATGCCATATTTTGTTGTTGCCATTGTGGAACATAATTTTGCATTGTCTTTGGCATTTGACATTATTTTTATCATTATTCTTGACTTTTTTTTCATACAAATTTGAAATTATACACACACACACACAGATATATATACACACACACACTCCGTATATCATAACACTCATAATCGTTTCATCCTTTTGAATTGTAACATTTTTTTTCTTTAACTTTGTTTCGTTCCGATCACGAGTTTTTCAAAAAAAATAATTAGCTTATTTTTTTATTAAAGATTTTAAAAAGTGCAATTCTATTAGGTAGTGTCGTAGTGCTTGGAAACTAGAAATCATTTGAAATATGAGATTTCAATTCCAATATTTAAAATCTCATAATTTTAAATTACAAATGTTGTTTGGGAATTTATAGAATTTCATTTCTAGAATTTGAATTTTCAAGTCAGCAAAGACGGTAACGGAAACCGATTGATGCGTATGAGATTGTTGTTTCATAAGGTGAAATCCTTCTTTAATTACATGTTATAAATGAGAGAAGTTGATCTTGAGTTTTAAAATCACATGGGAAAAGACGTGAATCTGTAATTAGTCTAATTTTGATTTAGAAAGATTTGGTCTAAATCCAAATTGTTTGAGTTCCATAATTTGGATCAAATTTAGATTTGAATTTCAAATTCAAGTTTCCAAACACACCATTAATAAGTTATCAAAAAATGACATAAAAATATTGGCTTTAATTTTTGAGTCATATTTTCATATTAAAATGTTGAAAGTCGATCTTATGGTGAAATGTGAAACATGTTTTATTCCTAATTCGATATCTTTCATATAAAAATTTAAGTTTTTATCGTAAGAGTATTTTTCTCTTAGGAATAAGTTCAAAATTCAAATCATACATATTTTGCTTTTTAAAAACGAAGTAATTTATTAGTAGGACAGAAGTATTGGACGGGAGACATGCTTACAGGCGAAATGGGTTTAAGGATTCAATAAGTGTGGTTAAATTTGGATTAATTAATTAATTGAGTGGAGGCCCAAATCGATTTCAGTTCGATAGTGACTAAAGAGAGCCCAAAGAACTCCGAGTGAAGCTTCCTCTTAATTATAGTGTGTGTATATATAATAATCATTGAATGATCTTTTCTCTTTAATATGTGGTACACCCTAATTAAAGGAAATCCTTTTGTAGGCCCAAAAGAAAATTCATCTTGTTTCCCTTGACACTAATTTTTGAGTTGACTTCTTTTTTACATTTTGTTTTGTTTGCTTCAAAGGAAAGAAAAACAAATTTTAAAAAAAGCAAAATGTTTTTAGACTCTGTTTCGTACACAAAATTTAAATTATGAAATTAGGATTGGAGACAACAATTTCAATTCTGATGCTTGGTAACGCAAAAATATGTGGATTTGGAATTGGTAGTACCAAAAATTAATTAGAAATGAAGAATTCAATTCCATTTAAATCAATTCCATAAAATTTTAACTCTCAATTCATTTCGAATTTCGTCAATTCTGTGTACCAAACGGGCCGTTAGAGTATTGATGTATCCACTTTTATTATCGTTGAGTCTACTTCTTGTATTTATGTTACAAGGATAATTTTGCCAATAAAATTTTTTTACAACTAAATTCCAACTTCTATTGTGTTTTAAAAGTAAAATTATCTATTTATCATAAAATGAGTAGATTTAACTAAAATTAGAAATTGGTAAATAAATCATTTTACAGTGATTCTTTTGTTCAGAAACTTTGATTACGGTTCGAATTTGAATTCGTTTAAATAGAAAGTATCTGCATTCATTTAAAGCGATTTTTATCTATTTCTCACAAAAGACATCCGATTTGTAAACGGATGCGATTGTGATAATCTTAGTTCCAATCTGTTTCAAATCTGATTCGCATTTACATCTATTTAAGTAACCGTTTATCTGATCTAATATATCCTTTATAAATAGGAAAAATTACCCAAAATAATCCCAACTTTACTCGGTCTTTCAAAAATAATCTCACCTTTCACTGTGATGCATAATAATCCCAACTTTACTGAAATTTGCCAGTTTTGGGTCGCCGTTAAGTTTCTAACGGAGGGATAATGGAAATACCCGTTTTAGGCAACAAAATGAAAGTTGGGATTATTTTTTATGAATTTTTGTTTTTAATTTTTTAAAATTTTTATTTAAATTTTTTGAATTACTTTCAACCTCCATTTCTTTTTCTTTTTTAAAGATTATTCTTACCTTAGAAAAAAAATAGATATAAAAAATAATGAAAATGAGAAAAATAACTAAAACCATACAAAATTAATCAAATAAATAATGTAATCAATAGAAATTAAACAGAAACTGGTAAGAAATAAAATAAATATATATGGAGTCGTGGGTTTAACATTTTACACACTATACGGAGTCTTAATGTACTACTTATTTTTTAAAAGAACAAGCCGTCCGGTAAAGTTGGAATTATTGTAGATAATTTTTTCTAAAAAATAAGAAGTGATATGTTAATACTTTGTATAATGCCTAAAATATTAAAACCCACCCGTATATTTTTATTTTACTTTTTCCAATTTCGAGTTAGTTTCCATTGATTACCGTATTTATTTTATTATTTTTGTATCATTTTAGTTACATTTCTCTTTTTTTTATTTTTTATATCTATTGTTTTTATTTTTTAAACTAAGACTAATCTTTAAAAAAGGAAAAAGAAATGATGGAGGTAGAAAGTAATTTAAAACATTTAAATGAAAATTTCAAAATAAATTTAAAAACAAAAATTCATAAAAAATAATCCCAACTTTCATGTTGTTGCTTAAAACGGGCATTTCCGTTAATCCTCCGTTAGAAACTTAACGACAACTCAAAACTGGCAAATTTCATTAAAGTTGGGATTATTATGCGTCACAGTGAAAGGTGAGATTATTTTTAAAAGACCGGGTAAAGTTGGGATTATTTTGGGTAATTTTTCCTTATAAATATCATTGTTTTTTATTAAGTAGAAATACTCTGTAAGTAATTATGATTACTATCTCCGTCCTCAAATAAACTTCCTACTTAAAAAATGTGCAAAATTTCACACCTTTTTAAATGATTTTATTAACAAATTAATTTAAAAATAAAATGTATAAATTACATATTTCAAAACTACATAAATAATTCTATAAAAGAACATGTCACGAGAATATTTTATTTTATCAAATGATCAGTGTGAACACACAAACAAATTAGTTTTTTTGTTAGGAAATTGAATTGAGACCCCTATTTCCCCCCTAATTTTTTACCATGCTGTTTCCGAATTCCTTCTCAAAATATACAACATTTTATTTGTAAAAATACATAGTCACATAGAGTACATGCCTATGTTTCATTTAATTATAGGTCAAAGACTTAAAGAGTGAGTTTGACTATAAAAAATCAAAACTAAATAAACATTCAGGTATGGAAGTAGTATTATTTTTATTTTCCTTTCTAATTTCCATGAACCAAACATAGTGTTAGGAAGGGTGAAAAAATACTATCTCAACATTGCTTTGAATGGCGGCAACATAGTATGGAAGAAGAAAATGGTTTTAGTTGTGTTAGAAACTTGTTTCGAGCATGTGCGTTGACCGAAAGATAAACAAAGAAATAGATGAATTACGAATTGATAGCTTAACGCAATGCGTAAACATTTTTAGATCAAAGTTATTTCGAGAAATACCAAAATACTCTAATCAGATAAGATGTTAATCAAGAACAAGCACTTCGAATTTATCGTCAACCATACAAACGAAACTCGTTTTATAGAGTCAAAAAGTGGAGATCAGACATGAACGTTTGTGTAAAGTTGCGAAGGTTCGGGCATAGAGATAGACACGAAAGTCCTTTGAACGTTCGCTTAAGAGGCAAACATTTGCACGAAGAGTTTTCTACGGTTCAGGGTCAATTTTGATGTTTTATCCATATGTTTGAATCTTTAAGGTTTTGGACCCCATTTACAAAAAATTGTAGGATTTTCATAAAGTATCAATGTTCATTATAAAAATATTCCAAGCTGTCCCCAACCTCGGCAAGGGCTGTCGCCCTTTGGATTCCGCTGCCAGGGCAGCCACCATCGGACTCTTGCTATAAATTTGTTATATATATTCTTGAATGAATGCACACTCCACACCACCTAAAAAAGGTTATGTTCGGAACTCAAAAGTGTTGGGGGAAGGGTTTTCATTGGGATTCTCAATTTAGGACCTATAACCGAAAACAAGTTCTTTTAATTTATTATCAATTTTCTTAACTTGATTCACAATATTCACAAATAAAAAATAGTATTCCCTCCCTTTTTAATTTTTGCATTTAAGTTTTCACAATCTTCAATGTAATATTCTAATTCTCAATATCTTTATTTATAAAAAGATATATGTTATAAAATGTTAAATTTCAAAATTATGTTTCAAAATGAACTGATTGATATTATATTTATATCACAATTTGGTGTTTATTGCACCAATACTCCCGCGATTTGGTAAATGTGCACCGTTATCCTCATTTTGTTTCAAAATTTACGTCGTTGTCCCTCGTAATTCTGAAATAATTCCTATGCCAATGTCTCTCTAGACTAAAATACTCTTCAATACTTATGTGAATACTGAATAGCCACAACAATTTTGCCTGTCCTTAGTTCCAGTACTCACGAAAACTTTTGTTTATTTAATTTGTGTATTTTGATTAATTATTTGATAAAATAAATTATTTTTTTCACTTCTTATTTTATAAATCTTTTAACGTAGTTTTTAATTGTGTTAAGTTTTATTTTTAATTTCTATATCAATCTTTAAATAAAATAAATACAAAAACTTGAAATTTCATTTCATTTTGCCTAAATTAAAGTATAAAACATTTTGAGAGGAAGGGAGGATTTTGTAACTCACATTCTTTAGCTCTCTTCTGTATTAATTTTTAAGTTTGAATCATACTATTTCACTTTGCTAAATTGTATATACCGAATCAAATGTAAACTATTTTCTGGGATGAATGAAATATATTTTAGGAGATATTATTGATAAAATGTTAAACGCAAAAAAGAAAAAAAATGAAGTGAAAATTTAGAAAACATCAAAATAAAAACATCAAAGTCATATTTTAATATAAGTTTAAAATGCTTTGTTGATCCACACTACTTTTGTGGATCTTCTTACATGAAAAGACTTTTTTTTTGGTAAAAATCTAAAAAATTGTTCATCATGATATTAAGTGTTTACTTAGCTCACCTAAAGGTTAACAAAAAAATATTTCTTTTAAAAACACTCAATTTAACCATTTCCTTACAAGTTACAAACCATGCTTAAGATTAGTATAGGTACTACAAACTTTTTACTTTTATTTTTTTGTCTGTCTTAAAATAAGTTTCTCATTTCTTTTAAAGTATTGCATGATTTACATTATCTCTTCTATATACATCTCAATCACAAAATGCCGGAGTATATTTTTTTAAACCCCGTAAAATTCAAAGTTGAAAGTAGAAAGCAAACTAAAATTTTAAGTTTTTTCAATTCATTTATTTAAAGATTGATATAAAATTAAAAAATAATTTTTACATATTAAAAAGTTAAGTAAAATTCTTACAAAATAAAATATGATAATAATATTTTATTTCATTAAATAATGAGTGAAATTATACAAATAATTTAACAATTTTATAATTTTAGAATAATAAAATGTGAGTCATAGGACGGGAAAGTACAACTCACAATGCCACGATGTACAGCACGAAAAAGGAATGAGTGAAAAGATAAAAAAAGTGGGCATACACACTTTATACTCTCTCACTCCCATTTTATTTGTCCAAATTCATTTTGTTTGTCAAATCATTACCCAAAATATTCTTCTAGACTTCTACACGTAAAAATAATTCTAAGTTACGTTACGTTATTTAATGAGTACTTTCTTTGATCAACCTCTAAAATTTTGTGATTTTTAAATAATTTATTTATAAATTAATATTGAAATAAAAATTATATATTTAAAAATTACATAAAAAAATCAAGATAGATGATACGAATATTTTATTTTCTTAATGATAAATGAGAACACGCAAACAAAAATTATCGAGAGACCATACTAATGAAAGGATACAGAGTATAACATTTTGGACGAATGGAGTTGAAATTAAGAAAATGTGACATAAATTTATGAAAAGAAGAGAGACAATATGATCTACACTTCCTACCTAAAAAAATTCGTCCGTCATCGTCTCACAATTTTTGTCTCGGTATATCTGTCGTTCACAAATATTGTTATTTTATCTTACTTCCACATATCTATATCAATAATATAAACCTTACATTTCTTAATTCTTGTCTCATTTCCTTGTGTCTCAAAAATAGTGGGATAAAAAAAATATTTATTTTTTTCCTTAAATGATACTCCCATATGAACATTTCTTTTGGATAACTCATGAAATGGAAAAACAAGAAATTACTTTAGGAACCAAGAGAAAGAGTATTGAAATATGAAAATGATTTTTATCCAATTTTTATTTTTATATAAAAATAGAGTAATACTCCATTATATAGATTTTGGGCTTTTCGTGGAAGCAACAGTTATTATACAAAAAAAAAATCTTTCCATGGGTTGGCCCGAGCCTGACAGAGTATATATATACACCATAACCAAACACGTCCCTTACCAATCATTCACATCCACATACAATTCAGAACCACTTTTAATTTCCTCTTTTAGTTTATATTTTTTTTATTAAATATTCCATTGGTGGAGATGGGCAATACTTTAAGGTGCTGTTTGGCATGCGTTCTTCCATTTGGAGCTCTAGATTTGATCCGTATAGTGCATTTGAACGGCCAAATCGAAGAAATTACGCACCCCGTCACCGCCGGCGAAGTGCTCGGCAACTACCCCAATCACGTCCTCACCAAGCCCGCCGCCGCCGCCGATCAGGGCGTGGTTCGCCGGATTCTCATCCTCTCTCCGTCGTCGGATCTCAAGCGGGGCACCATCTACTTCTTGATCCCGGCGTCCTCCCTCCCCCAACAACACCAGAAAAAGAAACACGCCGCCGCCGGACTGAAATCTAGAAACAAAAAGGAACTGTCGTCCCGCCACAATGATGATGGTGGAAGTAATAGTGGTAGTGAGTCGTGGCCGGAGAAGAAGAAGCCGTCGCCGTCACAACGACATCGCCGGAGCGGTAGGGTCGTCGGAGAATGGAGACCCCATCTTGCGAGCATTTCGGAAAATTAGTTAGCTAATTAGACAATTAGTTAACATTTTTATCCGGATTATGAAGTTAGATAGGAATGGGTGACAAATGTACGATTTGTTACTCCATTATAGCTATGCTTTTTTCCCATTTAAGTTTTAATCTATACATTATTTAAAAAGACGTGAATTTTTTACCGCCCATGCATGACACTCATATATGAAAAGTGTTGACAACATAAATGGTAGTTTAATTATTTTACCTTAATGTTTTCCTTCCATTTTAAGTATGTTTTCATTTTTATTTTTATTTAAATGTTACACCATTTAAGCATTTAAATTAAATTAAATTAAATAGTAGTGAACCATTGGAAAATTGAAGTATGGAAATAAAATACACTGCCATTTAAATATTAAAATAAAATTTAAAAATTACAAATTAATAAAGTATGGACATGATTAAAATGATTTATTTCAAACAAACTACAAATTAATTATTTATCATTAAAAAAATATTATAATTTACAAGCACAAACGCGTAAAAATGGTAAGTTTTCTAAAATAGATTAGAAAATAAATATGGTACGGTTAGTAGATAATAACATTTAAATAAAAGAATAAAATAAAAAACTACAAATTAATATTAATACTATTATTTAAAAGAATGGAAACGTTTTAAAAATGACAAATGTTCTAATTAGAAAATAAATAGATATGGTATGGTAAGCAATTATCACCATTTAAAAACGAAAATAAAATAAATGGTAAGTTTTCAAAAATAAATTAGGTTAGTGTTCTAAAATAAAAGAGAAAATAAAATACTCCCTCTATCCCCAATTTGATTACAAATTGCGGGTTACGGAGTAAAATTTCTTACTTTTTGAAATCATTTTATTTACAAATTGATATATCAATAAGATATAAAAATTACATATTAAACAACTACGTCAAAAGTTCTACAAAACAAGAAGTGATAAGAATATTTTATTTTATCAAATACTTAATGAAATCGCGTAAACAAACAAAAGTTATCGAGAGGAGAGAAAAAAATTGTAATCTATTTAGGACAGAGAGAGTACATCTAAAAATGATAAGTGTTCTAAAATAAATTAGAAAATAATGTGGTTTGATAAGTAATTAGTACGATTTAAATACGAAAATAAAATAAAAAACTGCAAAATTAATATTAATACTATACTTTAAAAACATGATTTTTTTTAAAAGGTAAGTGTTCACATTAGAAAATTAGAAAATAAATACGGAATGGTATGTCACCACGATAAGAAAATGGTACCATTTAAACACAAAATAAAATAAATGGTAAGTGTTCTAAAATAAATTAGGTAAGTGTTCTAAATAAATTAGAAAATAAAATAATTATTAAAACGATAAGTATTCTAAAATATATTAGAAGATAAATACGGTACGGTAATTAATGATACCATTTAAATAAAAAATAAAATAGAAAACTACAAAATAATACTATCAATTAATACTACAATTTATAAGCATGGTAACGTGTAAAAATGGTAAGTTTTCTAAAATAGATTAGAAAATAAATATGGTACGGTTAGTAGATGATAACATTTAAATAAAAGAATAAAATAAAAAACTACAAATTAATATTAATACTATTATTTAAAACAATGGAAACGTTTTAAAAATGACAAATGTTCTAATTAGAAAATAAATAGATATGGTATGGTAAGCAATTAGCACCATTTAAAAACGAAAATAAAATAAATGGTAAGTTTTTAAAAATAAATTAGGTCAGTGACCTAAAATAAAAGAGAATAAAATACTCCCTCCGTCCCCAATTTGATTACAAATTTCGGATTACGGAGTAAAATTTCTTACTTTTTGAAATCATTTTATTTAGAAATTGATATATCAATAAGATATAAAAATTACATATTAAACAACTACGTCAAAAGTTCTACAAAACAAGAAGTGATAAGAATATTTTATTTTATCAAATACTTAATAAAATCGCGTAAACAAACAAAAGTTATCGAGAGAAGAGAGAAAAATTGTAATCTATTTAGGACAGAGAGAGTACATCTAAAAATGATAAGTGTTCTAAAATAAATTAGAAAATAATGTGGTTTGGTAAGTAATTAGTACGATTTAAATACGAAAATAAAATAAAAAACTGCAAAATTAATATTAATGCCATACTTTAAAAACATGATTTTTTTTTAAAAAGGTAAGTGTTCAAATTAGAAAATTAAAAAATAAATACGGAATGGTATGTCACCACGATAAGCAAATGGTACCATTTAAACACAAAATAAAATAAATGGTAAGTGTTCTAAAATAAAACGATAAGTATTCTAAAATATATTAGAAATAAATACGGTACGGTAAGTAAATGATACCATTTAAATAAAAAAATAGAAAACTACAAAATAATACTATCAATTAAAACTACAATTTACAAGCATGGTAACATGTAAAAATGGTAAGTGTTATAAAATAAATTAAAAAATAAATATGGTATACTAAGCAAATGGTACAATTTAAATGCAAAAATTAAAAAGATATAAATTAATACTATTAATAATATAAGCATGGAAACATGTAACAATGGTATAAGTATTCTAAAATAAATACTATTAATACTATAATTTACAAGCATGGATACGTGTAAAAATGGTAAGTGATCTAAAATAAAATAGAAAATAAATATCATAGGGTAAGTTAATGGTACCACTTAAATACGAAAATAAAATTAAAAAGTACAAATTCCAAAATAAATACATTAATATGTTGAATTATT